GTGTTTATAGACTCGTTAACTTACAAATTGTGCATATATACTTGATAGATTGGAAAGGTTCGGAGGCATTGAGGAAAGGAAAAGTATTGGAGTAGTAGTTGCTCGACTTCGATTCTTCGGTGGAGGTAGGTTATGGTTTATTCTATTTGATAGATAAACTCTTAATAGCGATTGATATGCATTGAATGATACTATGAAGTTCTCTATGTACTTGATTGTGTGATTGTGTGGCTTGGTTGTGTGGTTTGTGATTGGTCTAAAATCTTGAGACAGTGAGATTTATAATCTGAAAACCTCTCTATCGAAGTGATGCCTTGAATAAAGAAGGCTTGATGTAATATTATTAATGAATTGAAAAGTGGTGATAATAAATGATAGATTAATAATATTATTGGATCGGAGTGTCACGTTCCGACACAGTATTTTTGGATCGAAGTGTCACGTTTCGACACTGTATTTTTGGATCGGAGTGTCACGTTCCGACACGGTAACATTAAAGGTAAAAGATATTGAATTAACTTAATGTACTCAATCTCAATGAACGCATTTCCCAAATGAGTGTGATGTGGAGGCATGAGTCCTCGTGTGTGTGCTTGATATTGTGATTGATTACGTACTTGCTTCAACTGTCACTTGTTCATGTTGTTGTTTCTTATCACCTGCTAAGTGCTATAGTTGACTTTATTCTATTATTCATTGTACATTAGTTTCTATTTTGGGTTGGCCGATGATTCTTACTCAATACATGTTTCCCCGTACTGAGCCCTACTTGTATTTTTCTTTGTTTTCCTTTTATGGAGTGCAGCGAGTGTACCATCGAATTTGACTCGCCTTCAACTCTAGCCAGTCTCAGCATATCAGGTTTAAGGGTGAGCTATTTATTCGATCTTGTGTTGGATTCTCTTGGTCATGGCATGATGTCCTTAGTTTTCGGACATAAACTATTTTATTCGTTTATTTTGGTGTCTTTAATACTCTTAGACTTAGTATTTGAAGATTAGATGTCCTTGATGTGATGACTTTCAGATTTTGGGGATAATATGTAATAGACTTTAGAGGTTTATTTGATTGGTTACTTTAATAAGTTTTGGAGCTTCCGCGTTATTGTTGTTATTAGTAGTTGAATTATTGGTATGTGTTGGGGTTTAGATTCCTTGGTCCGCCCACTTAGGAGGTTAAGTGTGGGTGCCACTCATGACTCAATTTGGGTCGTGACAACTACACTTTTTCTCTGGAATACTACCCTTCAGTAGCTTAACTTATAACCCTCACAAGGATACATGCGACTACTTCTATTCAAGCATGAGTCTAACTACATGTCCTCATAATGTTCAAGCCTAACCTAAACTCACACGATTCTACCCGTAAGATGAATCTTATATTTCTTTAGGGAACTTCATCTCAAGAATGTTTCTTCTTCTTACCACCCCATTCAACAAACCTTGAGTTCAAATCAAAAACTATTATTTAATGTTATCAACAAATTGGACTTTGTATCCCTCATGGGTCCTTGTATGGAAGCTAAATGATCGACAAGGTGTATACGATAGGTTGTCGACAACCTTGGTACCACCACATCATTCTATCATTCCATCGTATTGGCCAAATATGTTGTGTTGTGTAACTTGTTTATATTTAATACTATAAAAGCATATTAAATTTTCAAGAGCTATATCATAGAGCATGAATGCATGCAAACTATTGGATGGAGCTCCTCTCTATGTTTCTCAAATTCTTATTTAAATAGAATACATGTAACATAAGTTAGAATTAATGGTAATATAATTAAATTAAGGGCATATTGGAGGTGAGCCGAGTCCAATAGCGGCGGCTAGTACTAATTTTTTTTTTAACCCGTGTCTGTTATCCGTATTACCAAGTGATTTTCTAAACATGCCCTTAAAGTCTTTAACTATTCTTTCGAAGATTTGAGATGTATTTCTGCATTTTAAAAAATATAAATTTAAAAAAGACTAATAGAGTCGCTTTGTCCGCCGCTTTTTGTAATTTTAAAAGAGTGAAAAATCAAAAAAAGTGACGGACGGTGTCGCGTTATTAAAAAAATAATAATTTAAAAATCTCCCAAAATGATGATGTCCACCACATTATTGTGATGCCGTACGTTTGCTTTTTGAAAATCGTCGAGCCAAAAAGCGACGAACTGGACTGCACCGCTTTTCCGTTGATTTTGACCAATAAAGCAACACAATCCATCCTTTTTTTCTGTCTTTTTCACTATTTTTTAGTAGCATATATAACATGTGAAAATTAAAATATTTCTAATTAAATATCATGTTCGATTAAAAAATATTTTTTATATTTTATATACACACATTTAATTTTAGACAATTATGTTAGAAAGTTTTTTATATATCTGAAACTTCATGCCAAGTCAAATAAAAAAATATAAAATAAAATGAGCGTAATATATTGAGGGTTTTTTTTTTTAGAATTAGCTTTAGGCCACATACTCCATTGAGCCGCCCCTAACTTGGAGTAGTTTTGTAGAAATGTCTTTGATCACCAGAATATTTAATACTATAAAAGCATATTAAATTGGATGCAATAGCTATATTATAGAGCAGGAATGCATGCAAACTATTGGATCGAGCTCCTTTCTATTTTTTCTCAAATTCTTATTTAAATTGAATACATGTAATATAAATTAAAATTATTGGTAATATAATTAAATTAGGGGCACATTGGAGGTGAGCCGAGTCCAATAGCGGTGGCTAGTACTAGTTTTTTTTGTTTCTTAACCCATGTTCATTATCCGTATTAGAGTTTGTCTATTTTGGATTCACACCACATAGAACCCTATTAAGAGGGAAGCTCTCTTTATCAAGAATTTTTCCATACTCAGAGCTCAAACCCAAGATCCATTTCCTTTGGTGGCGGCTAATACTAATTACTACTACAGTAGTACTACTTAATGCTTGCTTGACATTTTCAACATGCAACTATTCATGCATGACCAAATAATCAACATGAGCAGACAATAATTGACTAAGTTTATATATGCTACTAATCTAATATTTAAGTTAGAAGTAATAATATCTAAATTATAAGAGTTTCAAGATCAAAGCTATAATTTTATTCAATTTAAAATACTAAATACAGTATTAGAGTTTAAACCTGTTATAGATAATTAAAATTTAATAGTTTTACTTTAATTTATTTCAAAATTTTAAATATTAGAATAATAATTAGGCGAAATGATCTAATGAACCCTTATATTTGTACGGGTTTGTATTATGGACCCTTCTACTTAACCCTTTATCAATTGAACCCTTAAACTCAATCAAAAGAAGATTTTTAAACCCCTCCTACCATGTGTGTCGTTCACTCTCTCTTAAACATATGACATGTCAAATCCACGTCATTTAAATAAATAACATGTTATCAATATATTCATTAACTATTTTTAAAAAATTATTAATTAAAAATATTAAATAATAGGTTAAATAATCTTTTAACTCAATATTTTTAATTAAATAAAATATTTTTTTAACTCCACACGGTTGATAACCTAAGCGCCCGCTGTCTTCCTCCTCTTCTCCTCTCCCATTCCCATCGTGAAACAGCCGTCACCACAAAGTACAATAGATTTGTAGCAAAATAATTACAAAAATACCAAAAAGGCCCCTATGATAAGCAGACATGTTGACAGGGAGGAGCTTGCTTTGTGCAAACTCCTTATATAATAAGAGAATATATAATATATAAGAGAACATATAGGTGAGCTGGGGTGAATTTACGGGGGCCATAGGTGTTTGCTAGAATTTTTTGGTAAAAAAATTATAATATATATATATATTGAGAGAGAGAGAGAGAGAGAAAGAGAGAGAGAGAGAGAGAGAGAGAGAGAGAGAGAGAGAGAGAGAGAGAGAGAGAGAGAGAGAGAGTTTAGCATTGTTTGGGAGGCAAAACCACTTGCCTTGAAAAAAATTATTTTTTTGTAAAATCATAGTGTTTGGCTGATCAGTAAAATTACATCCAATTGGAAAACATAATCAGTTTTTCTGTTATTAGAAAAAAGCTAAAAATTTCTTCTTCTTAAAAAAAACCGAAGCAGAAAATTATTTTCTTCACGATCAAACTATCCTTTCCATATACATTTACCAATATATATCTTATATTTATTTATTTGGTGAATTTTCGTATGTAGTCATTTAATTTGTGGAATGTTTTTAAGTTTATTTTGCTTGATATTTTAAATAATATTTAAATTATTATGTTAATATTATATTAATATTTAATATATTTTTTATTTATCTTTATATAATATTGATTGAAAATTATATATATATATATGTAGGTGGATGAAGGTAGTTCTGTACCATTTTCAATAGTTCAAGGGTATTTTAGACCATTTTTCATACTTTTAATATAGTATAGATGGTCATACACTTCAACATGGTATCATAGCAGACATAAGTCGTGTGATCGAATCTCACCGCTATCCATATCACCAAAAATTTCCACGTGTTTGGTCGATGAAAAGAAAATCAGACCCGCATGTAAGGACAGCGTGTTGAGAATACAATTAAATAATAAAAGTATGATATCTCCAACATGTTAAGTTTTTTAAACAAGATCGATGGTCACACACTTCAACACATTAGAGGTGAGCCGAGTCCAATCGTAGCTAGCTAGTACTCCCTATGTCCCTATTTACTTGTCAAATTTTGACCTAACACACTTTTTACGAAAATAATGATTGATATATTGATCTTATCATTTTACCATATGATAGGGTGCCAAACATATATCTAACATTCATGCATTACCAATTAATCAACAGCAGACAATAATTGACTTTGCATATGCTACTAATCTAGTATTTAATTTGAAGTAATAATATCTATCGTACATTTACTATTAAGTGCAACAGTTGGCCTTGTTATAATTTAGTATAAATACCCATCGTCAGAAGTTAGTAACACATCATCTTGAGAATTATAAACTCCTTAATTAATACATATTCTCTACATTTGAACATGGCTTCCAAAACAAGTCACCCCTCAATTGCCCTTTTCCTATCATTGAATCTCGTCTTGTTTGCTCTTGTAAGTGGAACCAATGATACTGGAAATTGCGGAGGACAACAAACGTGCTCAATAGATACTTTGAAACTTGGTGTGTGTGCTAATATATTTCATTTGGTGAATGTAGTAGTCGGGTCTCCACCAACTATGCCATGCTGCAGTTTGATCCAGGGACTGACGGACCTAGAGGCCGCGGTTTGCTTGTGCACAGCCATAAGAGCAAATGTGCTGGGAATTAATTTGAATGTACCACTCTCTGTAAGCCTTATACTAAACAGTTGTGGAAAGAATCCTCCTACTGGCTTCACTTGTTAAACTACCCTCTACTTTGCCTCATTATGCTTAATTGCCAATGGGTTAATAAATAAATAAATGTCTCGTCGTGCTTATGAAATTATGCACGTACGAACCTTTTTTTTATAATTTAAATAAGTGAACTTTGCATATGCAAGTTCCTCAACCTGTTTCTCATCTTCTCAATAAATAAAACTAGTCTTTATTACCTCTCCATGCTCTTCGTATAATTAAATTGATACTATTATAAACTCTACTTTTGAAGAATTCATTGGTGTCCTGCTTAGATATTTTTTATTTTATTGTTTACTATCATTTAAATAGCATTTATCATGTGTAATAATGCTTAATTTTCAACTGCCGTACTATTAACACGTGTTATTTATCAGCATATTTTATGTTATTATTTAAAAATTATGTCTAATAGGAGTTTAGTTTTAGCATGCCTATGCTTTTATAATAACTTGATGCCATACCTCTAATAATTTAACCTCATTTAGCATCCTGCATATGGGATCGAATAAGCTCATCATAGCAGCCATTTAGATATTGCACCATGTCAATTACTAAATTTGTTAAATTATATGTTTAATTATTATTTTGTTCTGGCATGTAATTTAGTTTCTGCATTAAAATATTTTGTCTTACTATTGTCACCATATCCGGTATCATCATTAGTTATATGTCATGACTTACTGGTACAATTCAGACCATCGTGACTCGTGAGTGGCATCCACACTAATCCCTTAATGGGAGAACCAGCTACCAATCCAAAATTTAACCCAACACCATTTATAAAATCAAGTTATCAAATAATTATTAAGGGAGCACTTTAGAAACAACTAGAAATTGAGTTTCCATAAACTCAATCAATAGTCAAAATAGTTTAGACTACTAAACAATTGAGCCCCCATAAACTCAACTCAATAGTTAAAATAATTATGCAAAAATAAATCCCTAAGAAATGCAAGTCTTAGTACCAAAACTCTAATGTCTAAAATAAAGGGGATGCAACCCTCAAAGGTGGTACAATTTAACCCCATTTGATCTTCCAAATCTATGTTCGAGTCTTTCCCAAATCCCTTTGGTTGTTTTGGAATAGATAACACTATCTCCAATATCTTTTGCCAAGGAGTTTAGTATCCAAGAGATCACCATGTCATTGCAAAATGCCCATTGCTCATAGTCATTAGCATCCAGATCTGGGACTTTGCAAGAGCCATTGATAAATCCATGCTTCTTCTTGGCTGATAATGCAATCAGTATGGACCTTCTCCAACCTGGATAACCTCTTCCGTAAAAAACAACACTGATTAGGGTCATTCCAGGAGAGTCTAAAGGGTGAAGGTAATATGGGTGATCGAAGTTAATGGTGTTTCCACCATTTCGAGAATTTGAGACATTTACACTGGTGCCAGTGTTAATAGTGTTGCTGCTATTGTCTCCAATTACTTTGGATGAAGATTGATTGATGAGAAAAGATCAGAATCGAGTCACTACTCTAATACCATAAAAGAATTGTAACAAAAAGAAGCTTTGTGAAATTTTCTGATGATCTATTTAATCTCCAAACTCTGTATTTGTACAAGAACTTTTCATAAAAATAAAATAAAAAGACAATAAATTACTTATCCACTTGTCACTTTCTTATTTGTACAATATATAACAGAAAAATATTCCCCTACATGCAAGTCACGTGAGTGAAGCTTCCTTGAGCTTCTTATTTCCTCTGGTTGTCCCTTGATCAAATGGACAAGATTGTTTAACAGGTAATTTGATCAAGGGTTGCGATCCTTCCACATCACTAAGAGACAAAGTCTTGATAAACATATACCTTATTGAACTTTTGATCTCTTGTGTCTGAAATTTCTTATTCTCTTCGACTTCTTCCTTTGTTCGATCTTTATTGCTTCGTTTATTTATGGAAGCCGACGATGTGTAAATGTAAATAAATAAAGATATTTATATTAGGATAAGGTAGAAGTGATCTTGTGATGGATAAGATAAAGAAAACCAAAGGTGAGATGAATTGGGCATGTGAAAAGAAGAAGTGTAGATGCCCCAGTAAGGAGGTATGAGAGAATTGACAGTGGCGAACATCAAGAGAGGTAGAAGCAGACCGAAGAAGTACATGACATGACACGTCTTAAGCTTATCGAGGATATGATCTTAGATAAGAGAGTCTGGAGGTTATGGATTAAATGTTCTAATTCTTGTCGTTTTGCTATAATTATTTCATTAAGTTTTTGTCTATAGTCGCTATTCTTGTTATTCATTGTATTTTAAAGTATTGAATATATTTATATTCTATTTTAGATATATTATCTATTAATTGATTTAATTTTTCGTTATCAGTCTTTGTGATATTAAGTTGTTTATATTCCGGATATAATTTGTTTAATTTTCTTCTTATTTTTCTTAATTTTCCACTCATATGTTTCTTACCGTGTCTCCTTTTTTATCAACGGTATTAACATCTAATTGTATTGCTCTTATTTTTTTTGTATTTCCTTTTTCAAATTGCAGGGATATATATATATCCATTAATTCAGTAGTCTTTAAAGCGGGCGGACAAAAGATGAGAGACGGATCCGGCTCCTCTCCATTTCCCTTCCCTCCATTTTCTCTAAGTTCTTGCTTGGATGTGAAACACATGACATAGATAAAAATCAATGGCTAAGATTTAATAAATTAAAATAATATTCTAATTATGATTTATATAATTAATATTTCATAGGAAAAATAATAATATCATAATCATAAGTCATAACAATATAATATCTTGTCCATAACTTAGTGAATTATTGTCTGCTGTTGATTAATTTCTCTAGTAATTAGTACTAGCCACTATATATTGGACTCGGCTCACCTTCTAATTTAATTATAATTTAAATGGGGTACTAGACAAACAGGAGGAAAGGAACAATGGAATATAGCTATTGCAAAGTGAATTGCTTTTGTGACCTCTATTAGCTAGCATTTAATATTACCGTGATCAAAGACTATTCCACAACTATTTACATTTTTTTATTTTTTATTTTATGTTTTCCATGTAAACAAAAAGAACACGACAAATTTTCTTTGTTGTTAGAAATTTTGGGTAATACAATCTTATTGTTGAAAATAATAGAAAGCTATAAATACTACCTTCATTCACTTTTATTCATTCACTATATAAAAAAATATTTTCTTACTTTTACTTTTCAATCTTTAGCCTTTTTCTAATATTTTACCCTTTACATTAAAATTACTTATTCCCAAATTGTCTGTCAAGATTTAAAATAAATACATATGAGTAAAAAAAAAAGCAACTATGCAATATCACACCAAAACCAATTATTACATAAAATATGACTTTTTATCATTACATAATGATAAATTTAATAATATAATAAAACAAAATATAAATATTAACTAAAATAAATACTAACAACATAATATAGAAAAATACACAGCAGGTAACAACCATCCAACGAAGCTGTAAGACTAATGGAATGTAATTGGGTGAATTTTCAAGGTATAAAATCTTTTCAAATTCAATGAATAGTAAATTCTCTAGAAGTCTAGATGCTTGACTATGCTTTCCTATAATCAAATTAGTTAAAAACATTGAATATGTGGGTAGGTTATTTCCCAACTCTTATTACAAAAAATAGGTGAGCAGGGTGAATTTAGGGGCAGTAATGTGTTTATTCGAAATTATCAATATAAAATTACACTATGTATAAAATATAAGTTTTATATATTTTAAATTCCTTAAATACAAGATTAGAAATTGATTCAGTCATTTAAAAGTTCAAACTTTACTTTAAGATTTCACTTTTAAATTTTAAACACTATATTTTATTTTAATCCGAAAATCTTAAATCCACCATGATAAGAGAGTGGACTTCCTTTTTTATTTATTAAGCCACCATAATGGTGTAGGATAGTACGCTCCTAATGTATGTATTGATTAGAGCAAAGAAAAAATATAGCCGATACATTGAATATTTGTCTTATTCACCTTGAGTTACATCTTATTCACCTTGAGTTACATGAAGGATGAAAAGTTCATCCTTTTACAAAATATTCCCATACCTTTTAACTTGAGACTAAGCCATAACCGAGAGAACTAACACCATCATAAGTTAATCGATCCTTATCCAGGGACATATTTATGGTATGAGGTGTAGATAGATTTTTGAAAACTTAAATAATTTTTGCTGGGACCTTATAATTATATTGAAAATTCAAGTAAGGCAAATTCATTTATGATAGTGACAGTTGATAACTCTAAAAAGAACTTGATTATTACCATCAAGGTATTGAAAAAGAGTTGTAGTTTCAAGACTTAATTAGTGCAACTCAAACTTATGATATTGACTTGGACAGTAACATGTTTGATGGAGATGATAAGTATAATAAGATAGACATATTATTTGATAAGGTAGCCAAGGATGGAATCTCTCACCTAGATGCATCTTTTCCTTTCCTTGGAAGGAATTTTTTCACAATTTTGTTAAATTGCAGCCTATTCCTAAATTATTGGTGGTATGTTGGCAAAAACCAGAGCAAGGACTCCTCAAGCTCAACACTGATGGAAGCTTTAACATAAGTAATGGAAAGGCTGGACTTGGTGGGGGCTCTCAGAGGTGAAGAGGGAGAGTTGATCACGGCTTTTTCAGTCCCGATAGAGTGTTTCGGTCACAATGAAACAGAGGCAAAAGCAACATGGTATGGTTGCAATGCAGAATGGTTACACTAACCTCAACATCGAACTGGACTCTTGGAATGCTCAAAGATGGAAAGGCTAGCAGTTTCAAATTAAATAGAGTTATCGAAGATACTTCTACACTGCTTAGACAAGCAACAATCAGGTTTACTTATTGCTTTAGAGAAGTCAATCAACTTGCTGATTGGCTAGCAAAAATGGCTATGAACTCTCAGGCTAGCAATACATATCTCTCGTACGAACAACTTCCTAAGGGTGAGAAGGGACCTTTCCTCATGGATAAGAGACATATTCTAAATATTAGATC